AAGACGGTGGCGACTCTTGCTTACCGCGACATTTCGCGAACCAGCGTTAAACAGTCAGTTCCAGATCCACCGATCACACATACATACATACATACATACATACATACATACATACATACATACATACATACATACATACATACATACATACATACATACATACATACATACATACATACATACATACATACATACAATTGAATTCATCACACGTCACATATTCACATATACAACATTGCTCATCGGATAATAATTCAAAGATACACATTGCACACCAATTCAACAATTCACATCGACACATGTGGCTTTAATGCAACTCAATACAATATGCATGTGGTACCAATTGTTATCCTTACTGGTCATGTCGGGTCCATCTCTCAGACAGATAACCACCAAATAATATGTCCTCTAAGCTTCAAATATGTCCTCTAGGTTTGGGACAAGTCAATAATTCCCACAGAATTACCAAACATTGCCTCTTGACAACAAATGATGCATGTGCAATCTCAATAATCATATGCAATTAAGATCATCTCTCAATCTTAATTATACAAGCATGTTTCACATAATTCAACATATTTGAATTATCTTCGCTCAATTGCACAACATACATATTTCATGTTATCAATCATACACAATGTATCATCATAGCATAAATCACCTCAACATATCATTATAACATGTAGCAAACAAGTCCAGACCATGTTATCTTCAATCAACATCAATTTCCAACAATTGCATACACAAAATCAAGTAGCATATTCATTATCAAAAGTCATCCAAAACCAATCCAAAACACATTGAATAAATTATTAAAGTTCATGTAAATCAATAATAAATCATATACATCCATGATCCAGAATATTTTCAGAAAATAATAATTTTTTGAATTCCAGACCACACTAAGCCGCCTTCATCGCGCTAAGAGCGCTTCGTTGAACACAGAAAACCTGCTACAAAATAGATTCTGCCCTATGCAGATTTTCTCCCAAAAACCCATTTCAAAGAACCCTAATTCATAAATTACATACATATTAACTTATATCTAACATGTATCATCAATTAGAACCATTAAAACATGATTTATAACATCCCATTTATAAACCTCAAATCTAACCCTAACATGTTAAAACTAGAAATTTGAAGAACAAATACCTAATTTCATGTTACTACCCATCACATACCATTACATACACCCATAAATCAAGGAATGCCCACCCTTGCCTTAAATGTAGACACTTTTTATGCTCTTTATTCTTCTCTTCTCTTTTCTCCTTTTTCTCCTCTTTTCCTCCTCTTCTCTTATTTTGATAATTCTCTCTCTAATTCTATTTTCTCTTCATACTAACTATATTTCACTAATGGGCTTAACTCATTTTTCTCACTAATTAATTCACCAAGGCCCAATGTACATTTTTCTATTCTAACACCCAATATATCCAATAACACATATACACACATATTCCAATTAAGCAAGTATTCACATAATCTACCAAAATCAAATAATTAAATAATTGTCAAACCAAATAATAATTATTATATCAAATAATTAATAAAATAAGTAATAAAGAAAATAGGGGTGTTAGAGTTACCGTCACTTGCGACATTGACTATCCATTCAATGTACATGTGCATAAAAATTGGCATCTCCTCAATGAATGGTATTTTTGGTGGAGTAGGTGTAAGAGGTGGTTTGCTAATACGAGCTCCTTTGAAAACACTTTTCTGAGATTTCGGAGTAGGTGAATCGGAAAATACTTTGTCAAAGTGTTCAAAATATGAAGTACTCATCTTTGTTAAATTGTCGCTCAGTGTAGGTTTCACCTTCTTAGGTTTCCCTTTAATTTTTACCGGTTGAGAGGGTAGTTTCAAGTCAGTGGTCTCCGAAAATGCAATCTTCCTCAGTTGCTCTTTGATATGGAGTTTGGTGAACACATAGGATTTCAAAAATCTTTCTTGTATCGCTTCCCATTCGGTCAAGATGGAGATACTTGATTTATCGTCTTTTATTTTACCGTCATCTTCAAAACGGAGTCTCTTCCAATGATTGGAGACCTCGTCCATCCATATCGGGCAATTAATTTCCATCTTCTTAGATATGACACAAGCACAAAGGAGTCCATATGTTTTCACAATTGTGCAACCATACTTTGAGCTATCAGAACCAACATTAGAAGCTCGTTTGGCTTCGTGAAAAATGTAATTCATAGCTGACCAAGAGATGTTATCGACCAACTGAGAATATAGTGTGTTGTCTTTGAATTTGTGTTCTAACACCGTGATACTACGACCAAATGTTTTTTGTATCTTGTTATGCTGGTTTAGTATCATATGGTTCACGAAATCTCATCCCGTAGTCAAGTCACCCTTGCTATTTCCCAGCCAATTCTTTAGACACGCATGAGCAGACTCAACTTGGTTTGTTGTTGTATTTCTGAGGTGCATAACCTGATCGGTCCATGCACAAACAATCTTCTCCTTCACCTGATCCAATATTGTGCTTTCAACATATTTTAATAGATCAGGGTATTTCACACAAACATTCCTAAACTGTAAAACACCATCATCGTATATCTATTTTGTAGATGAACTTATGATAACATTCCATGCATCCATAATTTTCTCCACAATAACACCCGCCTTGACCAGTTTTCCATCTTCACCTGTAATTTGTTTTGTCTCCACCACGGTTTCACCTGACTTCTCACATTTTTCGTAATATGGTACCTACAAAGTAATGCATAAGAAGTAGGAAACATCATTGCAATCAAATTCATTAATGATGTATCTCAGTCGATAACAATGACTTTCAACTTATCTTCTTGATCCTTCAAAATTGACCGACAAATCTCTAAAGCCCATGCAAAATTGTCCTCTTTTTCGCACTCTAAAAATGCAAAACCAATCGAATATGTCTTCTCAGTCGACGTAACCAACAATTTCCAACAACAGAAGTTTATACTTGTTAGTCTTATACATTGAATCAATTATGAACATGGTGGGAAATATATTGAACAATTCAATGGAATCAGGATGAGTCCAATAAATATCCCTTACTGTAACCCCATCCTCACATCTTCGGTCCCTACAAACACAATTGTTTTTATCTAGAAGTTTCAAGAGGTGTTTCATTTCGGTTCGATCCCCTCTTAGCGCTAATTTGGATAAATAACGCCTATTGTACACTTGCTTGATTTTTTATGTATTCTCGAGTCTCTTGGCTTCAAGATTGCAAGTATGTTTTTGAGCGGTACTAAATTCAATGTCATGTCGAAAACACGTGTCTTCTCATCCGGAAGGAGCCGACATGCAATTGGATGATCGTCTAACCTTAGAGTTAAATCACATTAAATCTCTATTTCTTATTTGCCAACAGATAACCACGCAACTTAAATAGACATTCACATTTCCTTGAATCGATGTCGTCGGGTTTCAAATTATGGGTCTGACGCATATATTTCTCACTTCTTTCGCATGTCAAAGTCGCAAATGCACATCTTCTATCCGTACGATTATCGGACCTTTCAATCGCAACACCAAACCCTAGCTTAGTAGTCTCTGTACAAATCCACTATAGCATGTCTTCACGTAATTCAAACTCTTCTTCAATTTCAAAATGATCACGAATATCTACTGCCTTAGTTACGAGAGGAGACACGAAAGATGAAACAACTTGAGACACAATAGGTTTGAAAATGTTATCTGGATGCACCATACCTTATGTGATAAAAAAATTAAACTAATTAACAAAGTTGGTGGAAAATAAAGTACTCTCAGGAATCAGAAATACATTTCCGGTATTGTTCAACTACTAACCGGAAATATATTTCCAGTTTTAGCGTAACTTTAGTCGAATGAAAATCAGATTAGTGTAAAGAATGAGGATTGAAATGAATAAATTTTACCTGAAATTCTACTTTCTTGAACTCCTTTTAATATGATGAACCACAAGAATGAAGAGTGAAAATGGATTGAGAATGGAATGATTTTTGAGAAGGTTTATGGAAGGAAGAAGAATGAGGTTGATCATCCTTCAACATACTAGTTACTATTTTAAGCAATTCACTTTTCCATAATACTGAAACTATATTTCCGGTTATATATAAAATTGATAAGGTGGTAGAAAATTTATTACTCCCGTTGCACAAACCGGCTATATACTTTCGGGTGCAATCGAAGATATATTTTCGATTCAGTTCTTCTCTTTTAAATAGGATGGAACCACATTTAATCTATTTGAGTGTGATGTACACCAAAAATATACTTCCAGTTTCCATAAACAATTTAAGAGAAGTATAAGATTTTTCTTTTCAGAGTTTTCACTATAGGGTGGAAACAAAAATTCTCTTTTAAGTGTCCCTATCATTTCATTTCCACAAAAAGCATTCATGTCTAATTTGACATCTATCTCTAATCCTTTTTCTATCCATCCATCTTTTAGTTGATTTCTTAAATTCAATTCTCTACAATGCACATAAACTTCATCCAACAGAATTGTATAAATTGAGATCGCATTTATTATCTTACAGCTGGTGGCTTTTATTATTATTATTTTGGACACGAATTTGTAATATTTGATAAAACTATTGAATGAAACATTCTCCCTCCATTAAATAAGCAAATTTTAACTTTTTACATTCATTGAGTAAATGATGTTTCTAGTCTTTATATTGTCCAAATAAAACATTTTTCCAATGAATCTAAAAAGTCAAAATTTGCTTAAAAATAGGAATAGAGGGAATAAGTCCTAACATAGTTAAAAAGAATTTCTATTTACTAGTATATGAAACACAGACATCACAACTAGCCACGAGATTTTGCAATCACCATGCAAAGGTTCATCTATACTAACACTTAAATCAGATGATACAAGGGTGTTTGATGCAAATCCATGAAAATCACAAATACGATTTCATACACTGAGATGCAAATCCATGAAAATCACAAATACGATTTCATACACTGAGATGCAAATCCATGAAAATCACAAATACGATTTCATACGATTTCATACACTGAGATGCAAAAATATCTAAGGGACAATAAGTTAAAACACGTCTGATATTCTTGAATATTTCCAAGATAAACTGCTTACATAGGACATTGCCACAGGACATCAACAAAGGAGGATTATCCTTAGTTGCTTGAGAGACAAGACAAACAAAAATAGAATGGAACTGAAATTTCCCAATGCATCTCAATTGGAACAACTTGTGTAACTGGTCCATAGACTTTCATTCCGGCTTCTTTCCTGCCATGACATTCATAAATTTAAGGAGAGCTAGCAATAACTGGATCCCTGCTGCTACAGTCACGCTCAATTATCTGTTACACGGGAAAGTAATGTGTAGACATGTCGAACTTTCCAGGCCACAGAAGACAAGCGACAAAGCATCTTAACAGAACTTAGCTCCATGGTGAGTATTAACTGAGTGGACAGTTTGTAAGGCTATTAGCTAAGATTCACTGAAAATGGAAGCAACAGATCTTCGGTTGGTGCATCTACTCATTTGCAATATTCTAAGACTAAAGAAATAACTGGACAAAGAAAAAGAAAAATAGAATCAAATGAACTAAAATAGTTATTGAGCCTGGCACCCACATCATAATAAGCTTGTGGGTTTTTTCTGTGATTTGGAACTTAAATCTGAAATGGACCTTGGCGCGCTTATTCTAGTAAATGCACCAAAGGACTTGTACCCAAATAGAAGTATATGTTTGTGCTTCTCTTTCACTTCCTGGCAGAGAGATGCATTTACAACTTCCCTTGAGCTATTTTCCAGCAAATATCAATCAATTGGGGCAGTAATTTAAAAAGCAATCATCATACGAAACTAAATTTGATTGGTATGACTAGTCTGGTATACATGAAACACTTAGGAAAATAAGAAGAAATAAGACAGGGTTAAAAGTGTGAGGCATGTACAAGTTATTCCACTCCATACCTCACAGAAGTTAAAGGTGCTAAACATTTAGCAAAATATAGTCAGCCCTTACAAGAACTATAATACCATAAGTTGAGATATAGTTTCTTATCTCGTCAATGGTGGTGCCTAACATTTGCTTCGTTTGCTTCAATATTTTCCAATTCCCAAGCAGGTGAAACGTTCCAAATTCTTCGAAACCAGAAAATGAAAAAAATTGTACCTCGACTCATTTGTGATCGAGATCTTCTAATGCCTTGACTGCAAGGCTCTTGCAATGATCTAAGCCTCCTTCGCCCTGCACCAGAACCATCACACTGGAGATAATTCCACCCACCATGGTTTTCCGGCAATTATAAGCTCGTCCAAACACCATAGTTAGGTCATAGTGCAAAACAAAAGTTAAACTATAGGAGTTATTAACAGGGAAAACAATCGTTAACAGAGGCTGTTAGTATTATTCAACAGTGAGTTGCAGGTCATGGACAACAAGGAAAGCCGTATAAGAAAATGTATGCAAGTATTGCTCATTTATTATTTGATGCAAAATTTCTTACTCAAAAACTGATACTCGAGCATATACAAAGTTATAGGAATGTTTATCTATGAGATTGCTAAAGTTGTTGCACTATATAGAACACTACTAACCACAGAAGGAATCTAATCCAGCACAACTAGTTCCTGGTACTCAGGGCCAGCGATGGCAACTTCCATAGCTTCTACAGGGCTTATATCACCTTCATTATCCAAGAACAACGTAAGCAGATTCTTAGAAAATCCACTCACCAGCGCCACTCCTTTCTGAGTAGCTGGCACAGGGGTCGCCCTTGAGTCTCTCAGATTCCAAAAAACTATCTGAGGCACAGAAGAACCATACCCTTTCTCTTTATACTTCCTAGTGATTGCTTGGTAATCTGTCTCCCAAGAGTTTGCAGATGCTTGATCAAACTCCATGTCACTGAATACAAATATCCTCTTAATCATCTGTTCCTCCTTGAGTTTCCCATTTACTGCGACGTCCAATATGCGATCAAAAACTTTCTGGAAATCAGTGTTCATCCCCCAATCCATGTTCATCACAAATTCTGTTTTGGACTTGAGACTATCCCCCTGAATCAAATGAAGCTGAGGCTCGGCACTGAAAGTAATAACCTTCCCCTTCCAAGGTTCCTCACTCAATTCAGAAACCAACAATCCCAACGCAACAGACACATCCATAGGGATCCCACTCATACTCCCAGACACGTCACACACAGCAATACAGTTACTCATCTTTCCTTTCTTGAGCAAATCGTCAACTATTCTCTTCCACTGCAGCTCTGCCACTTCTCCACCATCTCCATCCTCCAAAGACTCTATAATCTCATGGGGAAGCAAAGCCCCAGCTGCAATAGTAGTCTTCCCAGCTTTCACATCCTCCAAGTACTTCTCAAACCTCTCCTTATCATGCTTCAAAAACTTCTCCTTATAAAACTTCATAGCAACAGAAGCAACCCTATTGTAAGGAAGCAAATTCCATTGATTAGCCCCAATAAACACCTCAGGCAACTCCAAGACCTTCCTCAAGGGCACCAACACATCCTTCCTCAAGCGATCACGAACCCTGTAAGCATAATGAGCCTCCTCCACACCTTCATACTCCTCCCTAGGGAAGATCCTCTTTGCGATACTCTCACACAAAAGGGTTGACTTATCAAAGGAAGAGTCAACGGAAGGACACCATTTAGCAGCCAGGCTGATTTTTGTGGACGACCCAGATTTCAAAAACTCGAGATCTTTCTTCAAGCAATCAGCAAAATGATCAGAGATAGCATCGTGAAGGGATCGGAAATTGGGGTCACGATTGTATCGTTCAACAAGCTTCTTAGCCAATGCAATCCTCTTGTCCTCCTTCAAAGCATGAGCGGTTTCTTTCTCAGCCTTAGCTCTGGCCGCCATCTCTTCAGTCATCAAAGAGTCTTTCGCGGTACCTTTCCAGCCTTTGTTGTCGTCGTCGTTGTTTTTGCTTTGTTTCTTCTTTGTTTTTCTTTCACCAAAAGGGGCTGATGAACGCTTGTTTTTGGATCCAAATTTCCTTTGAGTCCACTCTTCTTTTAGGGTTTTACGAATCTGCGAACCTTCTAGAAGACGATAAAGGATCTCAGGGAGATCTTTGAAGTAACCAAAGTCAGCGAGGGAAGGAACATTGGATGCTAGGGTTTTGGGGTGATGTTGGTGAAACCAGAGAGCGGCGGCGTAGAAGCCTTCGCGATCGGATTTTCCGGTACCACGAACACCACGGAGATTACAGACTAGTTTGAGGGTGGTGAGTGGGTTATGGGACCATGCAAGTTGGAGTCTCTCGATGAGTGTTTCAGGGGGAGTGTCGGGGACAACATGGAAGAAAAAGTCTAGACAAGGGTTACCTGTTGAGAGAAATGTCGGTGACATGTTCTCGGTTAACCCCATCGGTGGCTGCTGGTTAGTTGCTAGAGAATTGAAGTCGGCTACCATTTGATCAATGAAACCGTCGTTGGTGGTTATGGAAGTAGTGGTGACGGTGGTTTCAGCAGTGGTGACGGTGGTTTCAGTTGCGGTGGTGGGGCTAGGGTTTGATTTGAGAGAGTAAATCTCAGGTGGGCCAACGAGCGTGACGGCGGCCATAATGAAAGGAAAGTTAGGAGATTTGGATTGAAAGGGGAGTGTTGTGTTGAAGAGTTTAAGGAAGAGGATGTGATAATCGAAACTGATCTGGGTGCAATTTATAAACCCATCTGTATCACTGTATGGGATCCATGCAAATCTTAGTCATTAAGTAAAATATTATTCTCTGTTTGGCTTTACTGCCTAAACTAGGATTTTTTTTTAATATAACTCTTTTTTCAATTTTTCTCTCTAAAGGCTACTTTCAAAAAGAAAATCTTTAAATAATAGGGGTATTCAAAATCAAACCGGTTTAATAGAAAATCACAAAATCGAATCGAATTAAATCAAAATTGTAAAAAATTATATTTTATTCGATGTATTTGGGTCATTTTTACACAAAACTGTGCGGTTCAATTCAGTTTGTGATTTATATTTTATAAATCGAATTAAATTAAACAAAACCGTCTTATGTCAGAAAATCTTATTAACCAATATATATTTCTTTAATTTTTTAAAGAAATCAAAATATATTATATTTTATCATATTTTATATTATATTTATTTTAATTTATAAATCATAAAAAAATAAAATATTTTTCAGTTATAAATATTATTTTCACAAATATGCTTTATCGTATTTTTTGTATAATATTTGTTTAAAAATATAATCTTGTCTATATCATTCTTTAGATTTAAATAAAATTATAATACGCAATTTTATGTATCAAATTATAAATTTATTTTGACAATTATAAATTTTTTTTATGGTAATATATGAACAATTAAATACGAAATTATATTTTCCTCTATATTTATATGTATGGTTTAATAATTTTTTTTTGTAAAAAATCAAATCAACCGAATCAATCCAAATCACATTAGTTTAGTTTGATTTGGTTCGGATATATTTTTAAAAGTTAATCGAACTAAATCAAACCACATATTTTTTTCTCTTGCAGTTTGGATGATTTTTTGTTTCAAAATCAACCAAACCACATCGCGAATACTCCTACTAAATATCATACTTTTGTCCATTAATAAATAAATAAAACTCTAATTATTTATTTAAATGGAAAAAATTAAATTGAAGAAATAAAAATAAAGGAAAAAAGAATATGTACGAACAGTGTAAAATATTTTTACACTATCAATCAATAAAATATATATATTTAAGTAAATCTTATATTTATTTTTAAAAAACTAATATAATATGACAAATATAATTTAAATTTTATTTTATTTTTCATTTAATTTTAGAATTTAAAAGTTGTACACAAATCGTGTAAATCAATTATATATATATATATATATATATATATATATATATATATATATATATATATATATATATATATATATATATATATATATATATATATATATATATATATATATATATATATATATATATATATATATATATATATATATATATATATATATATATATATATATATATATATATATATATATATATATATAATTGATTTACACGATTTGTGTACAACTTTTAAATTCTAAAATTAAATGAAAAATAAAATAATTTTTATTATTTGATAGGAATATAAGTAAATTAACAGTAAAAGGATAAAAAATAAATGTCGAATAAATTATAAAATTATTAATTTATAAAAATGATATATTAGTAGAAATATATAAAAATATATGTGTATTTAAAAATATTATAAAATTCTATCTGTTATTAAAATATTTATTACAATATAATATTTATTATATAGTCACCGTTAACAGTGAGATACTAATTTATGTTTGATTTTTATTTTAAATTTATCTAAAATAATAATTATAAGTGATCGTGAATTGTGATGTCAATATAAACAAAATTTACATTGTTCATAACAACTAATCTTTTTAAAATAATTTTTATTTTAAAAATAAAATTGATTTTAAAATAGTTGTTATTTTTACTTTTTAATATAGAAATAATTATTAATTTTTAATTATATCTAATGAAGCAGAATTCACTATATTAGGTGTAAATTTATAAGACTTATTTTAAATCTCAACATTAAAAGTATACAATTAAACGTTCATATAAATAGTCTATATTTTAGATAAATGAATTTGATTATTTGTTTTTTTATTTTTTATATTTTATTTAATATAACTGTTTGACCGAATATTTTTAATGGTTGAGATTTTAATAAAAAATTATATATATATATATATATATATATATATATATATATATATATATATATATTGGATTGGGCCGGCACTTGCCTCACTAGTGGGGAGGTCCAATTTAGCGTCCTTACTAAAGGTCTAAAAGCACGCAGTTCAACCGAGAATCAGTGGGCACGTCCCCACGTGTTTACTAGAAGAACGTGATGTACGTGTCTATATCGTCGTCATTTTGTCCTCCGAAAATAACAGATTCAACTCCTACTTTCTCGGGGCAGTTGATCAGGGAGGAGGCCACGCGATGGACTCCATACACACGTAAATCCTGGTAGTCTTCATTGTTGGGCCTCATCGTGACCCATCACTGAAGACCTTGGCCTAACGCCGGTAGCTGTAAATATCCTCTCACTTGAGAGGGTCAAGTATTCAATCAATCTCTCACTCACTCTCGTACTTGCTTGCATCGCTCTGAACCTCACTTTGGCATCAGAGTGTCTTGCAGGTGCTCCTCCCCCCTCCCCACTTCACATTCAACCGCTGCTCGACTCAAATTTTGTGGGCTTTGACAATCCCTTCTAGTCAGGTACGACCAGTGGTGTCGTCTGTGGGAACCAGCTTCCCTGTCTCCATCTCAAGACTAAAGCTACCATCCATCAAACTCTTTGATTGTCATGGTCGACCCAACTGCCGATAACAACCAAAACGCCCACCTCGTCGACCTTAACAACAACGTGGGTGACAGCAACGCGGACAACAACACTAGCATCAACAATGCTGGCAACAACAACGTCGGCCACACCATCGACATGCCCGGTCCCTCGCAGAACTATAGTGACGGGTTGACTGCCTCTTCAACATCCATATCCCTACGACAAGAGGATGAATATCATCCTCCTCATAACTATGAACCGAACACATTTCAGGAGGTCCCCATCCCCGCGGGCGCTAACGCCACAACTAAGGCCCTGTTCGCGGCTATCAATCAGACAAACTATTTGATTTTCTTGCAGGGTGAACGCCTGAGTATGCTCGAACAAACTTGTCGGGCACCCCGAAGATACAGGAGACCTGGCACTCCTCTTCCCCTTCAGATCGAGGAACATCCCCAATCTCCCCCGCAGAGACGTAGGCGGGACCCCTCACGAATAAGACGAGCATTAGTAGTCGACCGGTCCTCTCCAATCGATGATAGGACAAGCTCGACCACATAGGCATGTCAAGGTACGGATGTGGCCTCTAAACATTAATGAAAGGCAGGTTGTTGTTCATTTCTCAAGCAAAACCTTAGCCCGACAGGGAGACCTCGATCGAGCTTTGCTGTTGAAAGTATCCAACAGGTAGAACATCCAGCTTGCAATGGGCAGTTCACGCCACGAACTCAAGACCCTAACCTCGGTCAAGAACTCGTTCCGCGGTTCCCTACTCCTCCTCTTGACACATCTCGACCACACCCAAGGTCGAGCACAAATCTCCTCTCATAGAAGTACAAACTTTCGTGAAACAAAGTCAAACACAACGACGAGCAAGTATCTAACAAACATCAAAGGCAAATAAAAAGCATTTATAAATGCCAACCGCGAAGGCCAGAGCTGTTTAAATAATTACAAAATATAGGCACACGGGCCACAAATCCAAACTAAAACAAAAGCGGGCACGCTGGCCCGAAAACATACCAGATATAATCCTCTATGTTGCTATCCTCCACAGGATTGTCATCGGGGGGATAAATTATTTTTCCAACAACCACTTGATTAAATGGCCCTGCGCCTTCCACCACTAGCTCGACCTTCGGGTTTAATATCTTGAGCTTCTCCACGATTGTGTTAAAGCCATAATAGAGGGTATCCACCACATCTTGCTCGATCACCCGGATGCACGCGATTAGATCTCCCCTGGTCGCGATGGCTTTCTCCATGCCAGTCTATTCATCAGGCAGTGCCACGATCCCCTCCAGCTCTTTTATTCTGGCGGTCACACGCTTGTTCTCTTTAGTCGCAACATCCAGTTGGGACCGCAACTCATTCAGATCCTTGAAGAGTTGAACCTGAGCCTTAAACTTTGTTTCATGGTTGAGGATGTCGTCCTTCATATTCTCATTTATACCCTTCAGCTTCTGAATCTTGGTGTACGCTTTGTCCAGGGCGGCCTGAGAGCCCGCAACCTCGTTATTCAGCGTCAAAGCTGTTTCGAGCACCCTCATCACGGCGGCCACATCGTCCGACAAGTTTTCCATCGAGTCTCCTTGTCTTCAGACAAGATCGCCTCCCTTTCTTCCTCGTGAAGACCTAGAGAGCTCTCCCCTCTAAAGATATCCTCCTTATCACTTTCAGGCGCAACCCACTCGGGATCCTCCACACGCTTCCTCTTTACCTGTGGCTCAGGAGGAACCTGGGTCTTCGAGGAGGAAGGGGAACCTCTCACTTGAGCAGCAGATTTAGCCTGCTCCTGAAGTTGAGCAACCCTGTTCTTAGGCCCCGAGGTGGAAGCATTCTTGGGCCTTAACTTTAGCAGATACTCGGAAAGGGACGCCATCCGACCTACAGTCAAAAGAAAACTGTTAGTCACGGGCCAAAGATGATATCGCAGGCATGTTCCCATACATAAAAGCCAAACATATAAAGATGAGGTCACGACCACATCCCCTACCTAAAATCCTCAAAGCTTCCTTGTTTGAGGAACATTCGAGCAAAGCTTTCGTATTAATCAACCTATGAACGAGAAGATACTCCCCGTTATCATAAAAAAGAAGGTTGTTATTCACGTCCACGCATCTCACAGGAGAGAAACTCTTAACATAAGACACCAGCTTCTCATAGGAGAACTGGTTCTGAGCATCAAAGTCCTCAGGTTTCACCGCGTAGTACTCGGGCCTT